AAAAGTTCCCATCACAAGGAAAATTCATTTCTTTTCTTTTTTTTCTTTTTTAAATAAGCTCCGCACCCAATGTGGGGCTTGAACTCAGGACCCTGAAATCCAGAGTCGCACGCTCTATGGACTGAGCCAGCCAGGTGCCCTCCCCCCCATTTCTTTTGGTTTCTTTTCTTTCTTTCCTGCTTTTGTATTTGCATTAGGAGATGGATGTTGGCCAAACTTACTGTGGTGGTCATTTTGCAATATCTGTAAGTCAGGTCACCGTGTTGGACGCCTTATGCTTACACAGCGCTGTACATCAATTCTATCTCAACAAAACGGAAAGGGAAAAAAACACGACTCCAGAAATCTCTCAAGGGAACAAACTTAGAGCTTTGTCCTTTTTATTGAGTTGAGAACTCGTTTGACCTAACCACAAGGCGTTCAGGCACAAGAGCATCTAACTGTGTTCTGGGAAAACAAATGCGAGAAGGATTTACTCTCAGTTTACAAGGCAGCCCATTGTTCTTTCTGAATCTTCACCTCGGAGTTCAAGGCAGCCTGGCCCTGGAGCCTTGTGTACTGCCAACTCAGACATCTCTTTTTCCTTTTACAACCTTTCCCTTTAATTGATTGTAGTTTTATTGGAGGAAAGCCCAAGAAATACCGGCTTGTTTTCTTTTAGCTTACATTATGGTCTTGATCGCCAACCTCACAGGTAGCCTTCAAAATTCAGACAAATTTGGTTTCACAATTTATCAGCTCAAATACCACCACCAGGGATTCCGAGAAAGGCCATCCACCATTTTTCTTCAGTGTGCCCAAATGGTTTTGCTTCTAAAATAAATAAATCTTCCTTGGCAATACAGAGAAAAGAATTGAAATAAAAATATCAATGCGTCTTGTCGCTTTCTCATACGTAGGGCACTTTCTTTCAAGAAATTTTAAGAAAGTGTCTTAAAACAGATTTGAATGTTTGAGTATATTCTGTGGTCAGGAGCGTGAGCTCGTCAAGAGCTTCTGGAAGGCTTTGTGCAGCTCTAGTATCTGAGTTCAGGCAGTTGGTGAAATAAGACAGAAATTAAATGAACTCTTAAGTACAGCTCCCATAAGCAAAGAACTCCCTCCCCACCCCCCCAACCAGGGGAAACTGGGAAGTTAAACCTTATTTTGTTTTGTTTTGTTTTTTTCCAATTTCCTTTTACTTATTTCAAAACCTTGGTTACAGATGCAGTTTATGTGCCCAAGGAAGTTTCGTTTCCTGTGCACCTTTGCGGAGCCACTTAGTTTTTGATTATTTAATCAATAAATGTACTGAATCACTGCTGTACTTTCTTTACTCACTTGGGGATACTTCTCCTCCCAAATTGGGCATTATCACAGTTTATATAAAAAATTTCATTGCAACCTTAACATGTAGAATACATAACATGAATGTTTACCACTCTGTATATGTGTGTGTTAAAAGGTAATACCTTTTGGGGCGCCTGGGTGGCTCAGATGGTTAAGCGTCTGCCTTCGGCTCAGGTCATGATCCCAGGGTCCTGGGATCGAGCCCCGCATCGGGCTCCCTGCT